TGACGGTTTCTAAATCCCAATCCTCACTTACTGCATTCCTTTGCAACGCAAGTTTTTTTTTAGTTCAATTCTAAACCTAGCTTCCTTCATAAACCTGAATGGACTATCTTGCTGAATATTTGCTTTTCAAGAGTATATGTTTTGTTAAACATTTTGAATTGTTCTTTTAAAACGGTTCCACATGTTTACTTACCTTTTAGTCTATTTTCCCCAACAACCGGTTCTCCATTCTTACCTAATTAATTGGCTTTAAGTTGAAGACTCTTGTCTGTGATTCAAGTATGTCACTTTCAAATATAATTCAACTGTACTATGGTCACTGGTCCTCAACAGACCTTTAACTATACATTACTATGTTTAAAATAATTTAATCCTTCATTGGCTCCACAAGGCTTTGCCCACAAAACTATCCTGCAGATCACTCTTGCCAATTTGATTCCTTAATATCCTCACAATAATTCTGTCTTTGAGATTACAGCACTACCAGCGCACCACACAGCCAATGTCTTGTATAACATTATAGCCTATAGTATAATTATCACTAGGAGATCTTTAAACTACTCAGAGCAGTGGTTTTGGAATCTTGCTATCTCCCAACCTTGATCACCACAAAACCATATCTATTGCCGATTAGAGCTAAATCTTTTATTCTTTCATGGAATGTTGGGGTCATTGGCAAATCCAGCATTTGTTGCCCACCTATAATTACCCTTGAATTGATCAGCTTCCACCCTAAAAATATTCAATGACCTGCCTCCACCATCTTCTAAAACAGAGCTCCAAACTGAACAAAATTGAACTAAGAACAAAAATTCTTGTTTCTACCTTTAAAATAACCACCCCTAATTTTAAATCAGTGCCCCTAGTTCTGGACTGACGCACAAGAGGAAACGTCACTTCCAAATCAACCTTCCATGTATCAATTTAGTAATTCTGCTGTGAACCACCTCCAACATATTTACACCTTTCCTTCAATATGGAGACCAAAACTATGCACAGTATTTGATATGTAGTCTCACCAATGTCCTGCATAACTGAAGAACTGAACCAAAGGGTCTGTTTCCATGACTCTATAATAAAGATCCTTACTTTTCTGTTGGCCTCCTTGAATAGTTCCTGTAGCTTCACATTAACTACTTCTTGTGACACTCACATCTCAAAATTATGCAATCATTCTCCATTAAGCAATACTCTGCTTTATTCTTCCTGCCAAAATGAACAACCTCATGTTTTTGACATTATACTCCATCTGTCAGATTTTTGCTGATTTACTCAACCTGTCTATATCCACCAGGAACCACACATCCTCTTCATATCATACTGTCCCACTTATCTTTGTGTAATTTGCACATTCTGCCATCATGCCTTTGCTCCCCTCATCTAACTCATTTTCATAAATTTTTATAAAACATTCAAGTAACAGGAGTAGTAGCAGCCTTTGAAGTCCCAGACGAGACAAACACAACAGATAATGAGTTTAATATGAGGGTCACCATCCATTTGGTGAGGGGGAAAATTGAGAAGGTGAGGCCTTCATGGTGACCTAAGTTAGAATGGGAATTGAACCCAAGCTGAATCAGTCTGAATCGCAAACCAAGCACCCGGCTAAATAAGTTAAATGACTCCCCAGACCCTCAAGTAACTCCACATCCTGCCAATCAGAACAAGGCCTTTTCACGTAAAAATCTGATTTGTCAGCCAATCTTTTCTGCTAATGTTATCCCAAAACTCTTACTTTGTACAATAACTTTTGATATGGCACCTCATCAAATGCCTATAACTTTTCATAATATGACAAACATGTCTGTCTCTCCCCACCCATTCCATCAAGCTCAAAAATAATCTCTGCTTCTCTAGTCTGCCGATCAGACCCTCCCCACAATCTCCAAAATTCCACAGAATATACCTGGGTTCACATGAACCTATCCTGGAACTTAACCCTTGAAGTACAGCTGTCATTCTGGCAAATCTACTCCAGGACCAATAGATCATTCTCAGTGATGTGCCCAGAACTTTTCTACTATTACCATCAATTCAGGGGATCAGGCCTGGTTATATGGCAGGAGCAGCAACTGGCATAAGTAAAAGAAAAGTTATGAAGTTGGTGAACCTACATCATGAATTAATTGCGTGCCAAACAACATGGCTAAACATGACAGACAGAGCTAATAGATCCCACAAGCTCAACAGTCTTGGAATACATCCAAAGTAGACGAACAGGAGACAGGGTGAACACAGGCAGCATCCACAGGAAAGGAGCAGTCAATCCTTCTTCAGGACTGGATGTGGAGGTAGGGGGAGTTGCAGATAAAGAGAGAGGGAGAGGGGTGGTAGTGGAATGGTGGTGATAGGTGGACACTAGTAATAGTTCTGACCTGGTTGGTCGATGGAAGGGATGAATTCAGTTGGTGACTGGAAGGGAGGGTCAGAAGGCGGAATGGATGGGAGGTGGTGGCGCTGGAAGGGGAGCCGGGGAATGTGTGGGAAGGTTATTTAAGTCCTCCGGGCTGTAGGGTCCTCAGGCGAAAGATAAAGTGTTGTTCTTCAAATTTGCATTGCGAGTCACTCCGACACTAGGGGCGGCTGAGGATAGACACGTCGGGAGGTGGGATTGAAATGGGCAGTGACTGGGAGGTTAGGTTGGCCATTACTGGCCAGGCGAAGATGCTCAGCAAAACGGTCACCTAGTCTATGTTTGGTCTTACCAGTGAAGAGAAGGCCACGTAGGGAGCACCGGACAAATAGGCTAGTTTGGAGGAGACGCAGATGAAGCTCTGACTCACTTGGAAGGGCTGTTTAGGGCCCTGAATGGAGGTGAGGGAAGTGGCAGGTGTTGCATCTTTTACGCTTACAGGGAATGGTACCAGGTGGGTTGGAGTGGTTGGTGGGGAATGTAGCTCGAACTAAGGAGTAGCAAAGGGAATGGTCCTTGTGGAAGGCAGGGAGGGTTGCAGAGCAGATGATGTTCTGGGCAGTGGGGTCTAATTGGGGTTGGTGGAAGTGTCTGAGGATGATACATTGAATGTGGAGGCTGCTGGGGTGACACATCCAGTTGTGAATGGTGGCAGCTATTCAACTTATGGAGGAGTGGGGGGGTCCACAAATATACCCATCCTCAGTGATGAGGGAGGTCAACAGATTAGTGCAAAAGAAAAGACTGAAATATTTGAAATCATCTTCAGTCAGATGTGCCAGATAGATGATCCACCTCCGACTTCTCCAGAGGTCCCCAGTGCACGGCCTCGGTCTCTTCCAGATGCCAATTTTCAACCAATTCAATTCACTTCACACGATATCAAGAAACAGTTGGAGGCACTGGATATTGCGAAGGCTTTGGGCCCTGCCAACATTCCAACAATACTTGTGCTCCAGATCTTGTGGTTCCCCTAGCCAAGCCGTTCTAGTATCACTACAACACTGGCAACTACCCAATGTGGAAACTTTCCTGGTATGTCCTAGACACAGAAAAGAACAATTCCCAACCAAGCCAATAATCACCTTACCAGTCCACATTCAATCAATCAGCGAAGTGATAAAGGATCATCAATGCTAACAAGTGATATTTACGCTGCAATAAGCTACTCACTGATGCTCAGTTTGGGCTCCAAGGTCACCAAACTCCTGACCTCATTACAGCCTTGGTTCAAACATGGACAGAAAAACTGAATTCCAGAAGTGAAGTGACAGTGGCCATCCTTGACATCAAGAAAGCAGTTGACAGCATGGAATCAAGGGACCCTAGCAAAACTGGAATCAATTGGAATCGGAGGAATATTCTCCACTAGTTGGAGACATACCTATTACAAAGAACGATGCTTGCAGCTGTCAGAGGTCCATCATCTAAGCCCCAGGACATTTCTGCAGGAATTCCTCAAAATAGTGCCCCAGGTCCAATCATTTTCAGCTGCTTCAATGGAAGGCTTGGGCTCAAATGGCAAAAAAAATACAAACCACACAAGTACCAGGCATCACCAAGAGGGAAAGTACACATCAGGAATGTGATGGAACATTCGCCACTTGTTTGATGAGTGCAGATCAAACAAAATATTTGCGAGCATTCAACGCAAAGCATCTAGCTTAATTGGCACATCCATTACCGACAATATTCACTCCCTCCTCCACTGGCAATGTGTACAAGGTGCACTTCAGTAACTCACCAAGGCTCCTTTGACAGCACTTCCAAACTGGTAACCTTTACCTCCTAGAAGGATGGCAGATACATGGGAACACAAGTCATACTCTCACCCTACTCCGACTCTCAGTGTCCTGACTTGGAAATATATTGCAGTTCCTTTACTGTCCCTGGGGCAAAATCCTGAACTCCCTCCAAAACAGCACTGTGGTGTCTCTACAACGCAGACTGCATCAGTTCTCAAAGTCTAATCACCAACATCTTCTCAAGGGCAATTCCCACATACCAAAGACGATAGATAAATATCAAAAACTCCCCCTACATTATCCCAAACATTCCCATGGCAAGCACAGTGCAGTGAAACTCAATTTGTGCTCTCCCATGTAATACTCCCAGAACAGATACAGCACAGGTTGGTGATTGTACAAGCCCCTCCAGATTGTCCCAAACACTCTCAGCACAGGTGGACCAATGCACCACACCTTTAAATGAACAGAGCCAGGAGGTCGGTTTGGCAATCTGCAAAAGTTAAAGGCAAGCCTGGCCCTGTTGACTGTTTTTTGAAATACACTGTTTTGGAGAATGGAAGATGATGATCCTGATGCAGAGTGTGGTTTACCAGGTGCAGCTGTGGGTTGGCTTGTGTTGTCTCATGAATACACAATTAAAACTGCCTCAAATCATTAGATGGCAGATACCAGCATTCTTCCAATTGCGGCCAAGGGTTGTGAGGAAGTCGTAACAATAGCTGTGTTTTGCTAGCTGCTCTCCTGCATATGTAGGTTAAACTACAGTTTACTGCTTCAGTTGTCCAAAATGATCAGCCTGACTTGTGGCTCACGAACTTGATCTCCAACCAGTGACTTACCTAGGAAGTTGGGGTACAGTTGGTCAACATTATCAATCACATAGTTGCACTTGGGACACCGGTTGCTGACCTCCAAGCTCTGTCGAATACATTTATAACTGGAAAAAGACCAGACAACAACTGAGAGAATACAATCCACATCCCATTAAACAAACACACAGACACACACAGCTACATCTTCTCTCATTCAGTCTTCAACAGTCATCCTGGCTGTCTATCCCTTAAGATGCTCTTGAGAATCAATTCCCTCACATTTTGGGCATCAAGAATCAATTAGTTCCTACTGCTCTCTTCCTAAAGCCAGATCAACAACAGAATTGCAGCATATCATCAGCGCCTTACTGCATCACATGCAGAGGTGAAAGTGACCCACAACTGTGATCCAATTTAGGTGGTTTGGCCAAACTGAAACTGTCCATAGTGTTTGGGACGTGTAGGCTACATGGATTAGCCATGGTAAATGTGGGGTTACAGGACACCACAGGGGTCTGGATCTGGGTGGGTTGCACTTCGGAAAGTCGTTGTGGACTCGATGAGCCGAATGATCTCCTTCCATGCCGTACAGGTTCTATGAATCTATGAATTTTCAGCAGGATAAGAAATGAAGGCTGTGAGGTTAAACTTTTCTCTAAGCTAATATGGATCATTCTTGTGAGGATAATGCACAACACACAACACAGCAAACGTCAGGTTTCTGCTTCTCATTAGATAGAGCAGCAACAGCAAAAGCCTCCACCTACACAGCATCCGCACTGTTTGTAACAAAAAGGTTCCTTAAAGACTGTCACAATTCAAGCCACTGTTGACTGCAGCTCCTTCTGTTGTACTTAAATAAAATTTATTATTCTACTCCACAGAGGAGGCATGAACTATAGAGATTGTCAGCCCATTCCTTCCTACGTAATTTCAAAGACTGACGAGGAGCTCAGTGAAAGCTGGAATTGTAAATAGTTGTATTCAGCTAATTTTGAATCTTGAATTTTGTTTTTAAGTCCTCAAGGTAGTGACCTTGGTCCAACCATCAAAATTGTTTCTCAATGTCCTCCATATTGCACATTGTTTAACATCATTCACAACTGCTCTAACACTGAAGCACCCCATGTCAAAGCACAACAAGACCTGGGCAATATTCAGGCCCGGGCCAACAGGCGACAAGTAACCCTTGCACCATACAAGCGCCGGCAATTTGAGGGAGAGAATTACCTTTGAATTTCAATGGCTTCACCATTCTTAAGTGCTCATTATAAACATTGAGCAGAAACTGACTGAAACAGCCAGAAAAGCACTGTGGTTATAACAGAAGGTCAGAGGCTTTGGGAATACGACAGCAAATAGCTGACTTCCCAAAGCCTGTCCACTGGCTATAAGGCAGAAGCCAAGAGTGTGCTGGAAACTCTCAACTTGCCTGAATGAGTGCAGCTCCAACAACAAGACGTTAGACAAGATCCAGGACAAAAAAAGCAGCCTACCTATCCACGACATTGAACATTCACTCCCTCCACAACTGATACAAAAATAGCAGCAGAATGTACTATCTACGAGATACAGTGCAACAACTCACCAAGGCTTCTTCAATACCATCATCCAAAACCACAAGCTCCTTCATTGTCACTGCAGGGCAGTCAGTGACAGGCAATAAAATCTGACCAAGGCAGATACATCCACATCACGCGAATGAATAATAATTTAAAATTTGTTGGATTATTTTTGAACTTTGAGCTATCTTCAAAATAGCTTACTTCCGCACTGATTAATTGAAATTAACTTAGACATTTTTTGGGACAAGTTTTCATTCCAGAGATGGTGTCTGTATTTTGATAGGAACACAAGTTGACAACATGACTTAACATCAAGCAACAAGTAGAACTTACCAAAAACTGTGCCCACATTTTGTCATGTGTGCCTCTTCAATCATCTCAAAGCAGATAGGGCTATTGAAGACAGAACAGAATCGGTCAGTCAATCAATCGCAGGGCCCAACACTATTCTGACTAATCACCTCAACATCTGCAGTCAGTGCAGCCTCCCTCCCTCCCC